CCCTGGAATATGTCACACTTTTGCTCTCTGCACCCCTGGAATATGTCACACTTTTGCTCTCTGCACCCCTGGAATATGTCACACTTTTGCTCTCTGCACCCCTGGAATATGTCACACTTTTGCTCTCTGCACCCCTGGAATATGTCACACTTTTGCTCTCTGCACCCCTGGAATATGTCACACTTTTGCTCTCTGCACCCCTGGAATATGTCACACTTTTGCTCTCTGCACCCCTGGAATATGTCACACTTTTGCTCTCTGCACCCCTGGAATATGTCACACTTTTGCTCTCTGCACCCCTGGAATATGTCACACTTTTGCTCTCTGCACCCCTGGAATATGTCACACTTTTGCTCTCTGCACCCCTGGAATATGTCACACTTTTGCTCTCTGCACCCCTGTCATAGCAAAATTAAAGGCAGTCACGCAGCGAGCTGTTTGATCTGTCTCAGGTAAAAACAACCTGACCTGTCGCTAGGCTGATACCTGCATGTCCTTTGAAGACAACAGTATTAAAGATGTCAGCAAGTGTGTTCCTCAATGTATTCACCGTCAGTGAATAAGCAGAAAGTAGATATTTCAGAAAAAAATTGATATGCATGTTCTATATTATATATATATCTTATAACACTCAGACAGATATTTTAAGTTTGACAGCAGCTCACTTTTATTTATCTCAAATTTGCCTTAACCAGAAACGATTCATGGTATCATTAATGGGAATTCACACCAAGCTTTCATTTACTTTCAGCATCAGTGAGTGAGGAGTCATTTTTCCAGTTCCATACAAAAGTCCATGACATGGTAAAGGGTAGACTGGCCTCTTCGAGGCTCGTGTATTTTCATGACGATCTCTGCCAAGAGTTTGACAAGGAGATTGATGAAATAGTGTCGATTAAAGGTGAAGAAGAAAATCAAAGATTAATTGTTTTGTAAAGAGTGATACTCAAGAGAGAACTATTGATTCGTGATTAAGATTTATTAGTTGTCAGTCAGACATTGACATCCCATCTAATGCCTAAAAAGATATTTTCTTTTCTTTTAAGGATTGTTCCTATGTCTGAAATTCAGATTAATTTAAAATGGGATCATTGTAATGATTGTCCAAGCCTTGATTTCTGAACAGCTGAATATTTATAGATAAAAACTAATAGATGGATATATCATGACCAGTTGGTGTGTCATTTATAACTTTCATTTCCAAACTAAAGGTCAAGGCCAATGTGAAGATCAAATTTTAAAATAATCTATTTGGGCCATGATTTTGTTTAATAGCTCAGTCCTTTTTGGACAAAACTTCATGGATGTATCATATGACTTCACAGTGTGTCAAACACACAACCTTTATATCTATACCATCAAAGTCATAGCAAACTATCAAAAGTCAATATAGCAATTTGGTCAAAAGTTAAACCATTTTATACTTGTCAGGACCATAACTCTTGACAAGCCCAATACATTTATATGAAAATCACAGATACAAATGTCATGACTGGATGGTGTATTGTATACCACCATCATGTCAGTATACCCCTAAAGTCAAAAGTTAACAAATTGCCAAAGGTCAAGTTACCAACGGTTCAAAGATCAGTTCACCAAGAGGTCACAGATCAAGTCTGTTAGTCATCATATTAAAATGTTATCAATGATTGAATGGGCCATAATCTGGTTTCTAAAGAGTAGATTTTTTGTCATGAATCTTATTACATTGATCATCATGACTGCAGCTGTTCATCTTAACCTTGACATTTTCTTCAGATTACCTCATTCATTACCAACATCAGTTGTTCATCATTACACATATTGATCTGATAATTTTTTACAGAGATATATTGCCATTATACCATTATTTAAAAAGTATGCGTTATTTGTCTGTGAGATGCTCTTTTCATAGACACAAGTCATATTTTTTTTATTTTTCCTTTGTAACATATAAAACACATGCCTTATATATCAATTCAGGCTTTCAGCATTAAACATTTACATTTCATATGTTGATTAAATTTAAGGTGCCTGTAACCTCCACCAAGTAGTTAGACAGTCCATGTATAAGGCTGTCATCAATAACTTGTTTGGGCCCGGAGTCCTCCCCACCACTGACATGGTATGTACTCAGTGGGCCTGTAAACGTTCAAGCTGTGGTGAAGATATTTCACATTATCATGACCTGATTTTCAGAACTGAGATTTCAGGGTCTGGCATGACACTAGGAATGTGCTTGATCATAGATGAATGATATATTTTCCTGCATATACTGATCATGCAGGGTGGCACATGTGGTACTAGAGCACCTTGTTTCAGCTCTGTGTTTGTTTTAGTCGCAGGACAATACATGTAACATACGTAACATCATATTTGTAAGTTAAAAGAGGCGAACATTTCCTTACAGAAGAAAATGAATGTATTTTTTTCCCATCTTACTTCATTTTAGATGATTATAACAGCTAGCTTTCATGTAGACAATCATGAGTGCTACCAAGAAATATCTGTAGAGTGCTGCCTATAATGGCACTCGCCACCGTGTCACGTTATATAGCAAATACAGGATTTCGCTATTTAAGCAGATAGTATATCTGTCAGATTTGTAATTAGATACCAAAAAGCCTATCCTTTAACGAAAGTGTAAACAAATGAACCGTGTGTTGGTCTTAGAAAAATTATTATTGTCAAGTGAGTTCATGTGTGCATGTACATTTCTACATACGGTACATCTGTGTTAAATTGCACAATATGACCACTGGCTGCAGTATCCAGAAATTATGATAAAGATGAAACATATATGGCTGTTACAGAATAAATTAACACAAATAGGATTGGGGTTTTTTTTCAGACAAAATTCAAGAATTTGGAAAAGAATTTTGTTTTGTTTGACGAGTTATTTGAGTATGGAGCTCGTTTGCCTTCCTTTATGATTAGGTAAGTCTACCTTGTGTTCTTTATACATATGGACTTAGCTTTAAATTTGAGCATTTAACTACTGACCTTGTTTTTTACTTAAATTTGAAATCACAGATATAGATTATACCAATATATATTGATCAGGAATCATCGCTTTGTTGTGAAATTTAATTAATAAACTGTTGTTATCATGTGTTTCAAACTATTCCGTCTTTGCGAATTGCAGAGTTATCTTCTCTTGTGAGCAGGGATTGATTGTTACATCATTGGTTTGTGAGAGCAACACCATCAATTTTTGAGAAAACGATGTAATTTTATCACACAAACCAATGACGTAACAATCAATACCTGCTCCCAAGAGAAGATAACTCTGCAATACGCAAAGACGGAATAAGCAAAATAAGAACATATGTTTCATCTTTTTAATGCCAGTTTATAGAATAAGCAGAATAAAAAGCTTTTAGAATTATATACAGCTACCACTCAATGCAATATAAATTCCATTCTAGTATTACATGATGTATGATAATATTAAAATGATTTTGCACCAGGGACTGGACTTCTTCAAAATGGCAGTTAGTTGGGATGTTTAAAGATTTGTACAAAGGTATTAAAAACAAGAAAAGGACTGAAAATGAGGTAAATATTTTCAAACTTAGACAGTTTTCTTTATAACATGTTTCTTGAAACTGGGATTAGAAAAATTGTCTCTTTTAGAATTAAATGTAAGCCTCTCTAGATCTGGCTTGTGTGTTGATCAGTGTAATCCACTGGTCTTCATAAGTTTTCAAGTTGTTTTGCCAAGAATGATTCAAATGTGTAAAGGATTTACCTATTATTTTAAGTTTTCTGAGCAGACTATAGTCTATAGCCAGGATGTTTCAAAGTAAAATTTGGAGGCTGCGATGGCCAAGTGGTTAAGGCGTCTGACATTCTGATACCACTAGCCCTCCACCACTGGGTCGCGGGTTCAAGGCCTACATGGGGCAGTCACCAGGTATACTGGCCGTAGGTCGGTGGTTTTCTCCGGGAACTCCGGCTTTCCTCCACCACAAAAACATGGCACGTCCTTAAATGACCATAGCTGTTAATGTTGATTAATTCTTGGGTCCTTTATCTGTTTTCTGTTGTCCATTGTCATCTTTCTCCTTTACAAAACTACTAGTACAGAATACCTGAAGTGTTTTCATTTGGAGTGTCCTGGGTTAAAAAAATTCAATATATTTAATTAAATGAAGGATGTTAAACCCATGGGCTGTGGATCAATTAAGGGCCCAATAACTGAATGTACTTATATTATTGCAGAGATATGTAATTTTATATGATTCTGTAGTAATATTGTAAAATGTAATCTAACATTATATTTTCCGCAGACAGTTCTACAGACACTTCTAAATCTGGTGGATGATAAACATGCCCCTAACTATGCCCTGCTGTTCCTGTGGGCGTCTCTGGCCAATGCTGTTCCTGTGAGTCCTATTAAAGTTTATGCTCTACGGCCTTCCCCAACACTGTTTGTACCCAGTGGAAGACAAACTCAACCCTTGAATATTTTTACACAAAATTCCTGACAAGAAAAGCTTACTTAACACTGCAGTTAAATGTACTTTTTAAGCCTGTGCTTAATTGTGGTGTGACAGCCTTTTATACATCAGTACTTGTATGTTGCATCTTATTGGATTTTAAGATAGATCTTGTAATAGTATATTTTACATATATAAATAAAGTACCTCAAAGCATTTTATGCTGGATATTCTGTTGTGTAATCTTGTTCTTGAAAGCTTTCTTGTACAATCTTAATATTTTCAATTTGACAACATGTAAATTGATAATTATTGATAATAGAATGGTTGAATGATGCTAAGCAATGTATAGATAATTATATATATAAGTATTTATGTATTCAGATATTTCTCACATTACATAAAGTTTTTGATTACATTAATTTACAGATAACCTTCTGGTGCCTGGTTTTTATCTTATCAGACCAGACTGTTTTATCTAAATTGAAAAGGGAGCTAGTATCCACCTTAGGAACACTAGAGAAAGGTATATATAACTTAGAGCCTACAGTCTGATTGGCATAACTCAGATAATGCATTTGAATACATTTGGTCAATCTTTATGGCAGTATATGATGCAAGAGAAAGTTAACAGAAAAACCAAAGATAAGTTGACAAACATTGACAAGTTGACAGCCTGTATGGATTTGCATCATTTTCAGGACAAAAATAGAAAACATCAATTGTAAAAAAAAAAAAAAGGCATATCCCTTTCAATTATCTCTATCAAAACCATCTTCTCAAGACATGTTTTATTTTTCTGTGGTGATACATGTATTTAAAAAACAAAACTAAGTAAACGCTGTTGCCATTCTCAGTGATTTAAAATTTTGTGATTAATAAAAAAAAAAGCATGTATCATCTGATAATGAGTTATCCCACTCTACAAACAAATGTTTGTTATGAAGAACATGTAACTAGGCAAGTGTACTGTCTAACAAAATATACGACCTATAGTATCAAAATCTGCATGTGTAACACCTAGCAATAGAAATGTTTTAAAACTTAATCAGTATTTTGATTTTTAATTAAGAATATAAATAGTACAACTGGGACCTTAATAAGGTCAAGAACAGGTCCAATGGCTCCACTTAACCACAGACTGGGAAGTGGTATTGGTCCCTGGATTAATGAGTATGGACTGTGTTTAGTTCACAAAGAGCTGTTTTTGTGAAAGGAATTCTAAAAAATATCATTGCATTTATGTTATTATATTTTTTTTTTGGATTTTCAAAGTTTATCATACAAATGAAGTGCAAATACATATTGAAATCCTGTATACTACTCTCACACATACTCACTCATCACACTTCTCAGTATAATAATTAATTTTACAATCAGCTGTAAAATGGCCATGTTACTTAATAATAGAGTTTTATAATTTCTGTAAAAGAATTTAGATTATATAAGTTATATGATTAATTTGATTTGTCTTCTCTAAACCTGTATGATATCATTCCTCAGATATCAAGACTGATAAAGGATTTTATATCAAAATAGCGAATTGATAATCTTTTATATATTTCAGATATATAGACAAATCAATTATTTCTCAGGTATTGTCACTGGTATTATTTCTCAGGTGTAAAAACTTCAAACAACAATATCCTAGGAACCATTTGGACTAGAGTCATGATACTTGGGTATGTTATGTAGTTCAAATCGTTTTCTTTATTACAGTTATGAGGTCAAAGGTCAACTTAAAGTGCTAGTCAAGGATCAAAGATCAACATTGGTTAAAACCATTAACAATCATCTTCTTAAGTTCCATAAGGCCCAGGGTCATGCTATTTGGCCAGTAGGTACCTGGGATGGAGTGCTATAACGTTTCCTCGTTAAAATGACCTTGATCATGACCTACTTTAAAGGTCACAGGGGTCAAATATGGTAAAAACTTCAAACAATAATATCCCAAGAACAGTTTGGACTAGAGTCCTTATACTTGGGTATGTTATGTAGACTAGTAGTGCAAACCTTTTTTTTAATTACAGTAATGAGGTCAAAGGTCAGCTTTAAGTGCTAGTCAGGGGCCGAAGGTCAACATGGGGTAAAGCTTTAAAAATCTTCTTCTCAAGTTCAATAATGCCCAGGGTCATGCTATTTGGCCAGTAGGTACTTGGGATGGAATACTTTTAAGTCTCTTCATTGAAATGACCTTGAACTTCTTTAAATGTCACAGGGGTCAAATATGTTAAAAACTTCAATCAACAATATCTTAAGAACCATTTGGACTAGAGTCATGATATTTGGGTATGTTATATAGTCCAGTAGTGCGAACTGTTTTCTTTATTACAGTTATGAGGTCAAAGTTCAACTCTAAGTTCTAGCCGGAGTCAAATGTCAATTTGGGTTAAAAGCTTTATAAAATTCAAATTTCAAATTTCAAACAACAATATCTTATGAACTGTTTAAAAGATGTTAAAATTATTTATGTTCGAGTTACCAAATTTGGTCTGAAGTTACTTATATGTCAGTTTCATGTAACAAAAGAAACAGGTGAGTGATACAATCCTTCTGGGCCTCTTGTTTCTGAAGTTATTTTACAGGTATTATTTCCCAGGTATTAATGTCATAGGTTTTATTTCCCAGGTATTGTCACATGTATTATTTTCAATGTATACTTATATAATTTTTCAATGTTAAGTCACCAGTAACATTTTTGTCTGCAGGCAAGGTAAGAATCACAGAGGAGCAAATCAAGGAGATGCCATACCTGAGATGGTGTGTCCTGGAGGCAATCCGTCTAAGACCTGTGGGTATCATAACCCGACGGGTTATCAAGGCTTTCAAAGTTAAGGTAACAAGATTTTTGGCTGGCCCAATTTTACCTCAGCTTTTAATTTTGAAATTCCTTTATGTTGCCTTTTCACTCATTTATTAATATATTGTACAGAGCAGCTTAAATGTGATATTTTAACATTTGTTTTCAAAATGGGTTATTGACCTTTCACCTTACAGGAAATGGTGATACCGGAGGGTGATATGTTGATGTTATCTCCTTACTGGGCCCATCGCAACCCAAAGTATTTCACTGCAAGTGAGGAATTCAGGCCAGTAAGTTGATTACATAGACTGCTTTTATTCTTTTGATTGCAAGCTTTAGTACAATTTTTAAAGAAATGATTTGATTCCTTGATAAGGGATGACATATGCTTTTAAAGTCTCATGGAATTGAAGATTGTTTTGATGTGCAATGATTTGATAATGTCGATGGATTTCAGTGAAAAAACGTTTCTCTTTTCTTTTAATAAAATATTGTTTTCTTGAAAGTTTATGTTATGATTTGTTTTTGTTCTTTGTTTAGGATAGATGGAAAGATGCTGACCTGGAAAAGAATCTATTTTTAGATGGGTTTGTGGCATTTGGTGGTGGGAGGTACCAGTGCCCTGGAAGGTAGGTGGCATGGATACTGAACACTGAATACTGAACACATGTTCACACACATTTTACTCCTGCTTCATCAGGGTATATAGTATTCACTTCGTCAGTGCCTGTGTCGGTCTGTACTGACTGACTTCATGGTTTTACGGGCATATCTCAGCCCCTGTATCAGAATGGGCACCAAACTTTTTATATATGTACATCATGGGAAGATGGTATGTCAAAGCCCACAAAGTAGTCACTGTGACCTCAATTTGACCATTGACCTTGACATGATCGAAGTACTCAAAAAAACGTCTCGGAGCACATCTCAGATGCTGTTTTATGAATAGGCATCAAACGTTATGTGTAGGTTCATCATGGGAGAGCAGTGTGTCCCAACCTTAAACAAGGTCACTGTGACCTCAATTTGACCTTTAACATTGCCCTCAAGTACTAAATTTAGTGTAATTCAGGTTTCAAGTACTTAATTAAGTGTAATTCAGGTTTCTGTGTCACATATCTAAGCCAATATTTCATGAATGGGCTCCAGACTTGTAAATATGTAAGGGAGTGGTGGTGATGGTATCGGTGAATCCCACTCTTCCAGTTAAGTCTAGTTATTTATAAAGTAGTGTTGCAGTCTAAAGTGAAATACAACAATGTGTTATTTGGACGGGTCTTACGTAAATTGTTTAATAATCACCTTTAACTCAAATACATAGGATTTCTGTAAATCTCTATCCACTATTTGTTTTAGGAACATTATTGAAATTATGACATCACAATGAAAACAATTTAAAGGCACAGTGGCCGAGTGGTTAAGTCATCTGACACTCTGCTACCACTAGCCCACCTCCACAGTGGCCGAGTGGTTAAGTCATCTGGCACTCTGCTACCACTAGCCCTCCCCCACAGTGGCCGAGTGTTTAAGTCATCTGACACTCTGCTACCACTAGCCCTCCACAACAGTGGCCAAGTGGTTAAGTCATCTGACACTCTGCTACCACTAGCCCTCCACCACAGTGGCCGAGTGGTTAAGTCATCTGACACTCTGCTACCAGCAATGCCCTCCACCACTGGGTCGTGGGTTCGGGACCTGCGTGGGACAGTCACCAGGTACTGGCTGTAGGTCAGTGGTTATTCTCCGGGAACTCCGGCTTTCCCCACCACCAAAACCTGGCATGTCCTTAAATGACCATACAAGTGTAGCTGTTATTAGGACATAAAAAACAAACAAACAAAACAAAACAAAACCAATTCATTGATGTCACTTGATGGTATATATTATCAATGTAATAGCTGACTAGACTATTATCATGGAGTAGACTGACAATATATATAAAGTACACTAAAGACTGTATGAAATAAGTGATAACGTTACTTCCCGGGGGATTATAAGGAACAAATTTACAGAAATGATATTAATCTTTCAAATCATAAGCAATTTTTTTAACAGCAATCCTCTGGATGTTGCGATGTTTTACATCCTAGGGAAGGCTATTGAACCCTTGAACTTGAGAAAATAAACATTGGATCTCATTTGTCCTGTATTATTTCCTTGATTCATTTACGTTGTGAATGGACACTGTAATAGAAAAATATTTGTATACCTGATTTGATGTTTTTATTTCAGAATTATTTTCCAGTCTGCACCATAATATATCTATCATTAGCAACTTTAAAACAGTAATTTGAAAATGCAGTGGCTTAAATATAGGCACAACATGACCTAGTTCATATATTTCTTAAAGACTTGAAACTTACAACTGTTTTTCATATATCAGGTGGTATGCCCAGATGGAGATACAGATGTATGTGGCTCTCTTCCTTCACAAAGTGGATTGTACTGTACTCTCTGACCACGTTCCCTCACCGGTAAGTACACAAATATATATCGGGCCTACCTGTTAGTGTCCTCCAACCAGTAAATGTATCTACTCACACCCCACACCATTAAGAATATATCCAACCACACCCCTTCACCATTTAAAATCAATGATCATAAATACTCAATAAAGATACGATAAAATATTTTAATATCAAAAAGTACATTTTTTCATTGTAGAGCACAAAGCATTTGGTCGGAACCCAACAACCAGCAGAGCCTTTTCTAGTGGACCTTACGCTGAAACAGCCGTCATAAACTGACGAATCAAATTCCTAGACACATTGTTCCGCTGTGATAACCAGCAGAGCCTATTCTAGTGGACCTTACGCTGAAACAGCCATTATGAACAGACAAATATAATATAAGAATTGAGATGATTATGAATTTCATATGATTACAAAGTTTTTCATTATACTTCTACTTCTAAATGGTACTGACCAACTTCTACAATTCGAAGATAAAATGTCAGACGAGGAGTGAAACATGGAAAGAGATTGTTTTTAAAAGATACGAGATGGTCTAATTCTATGGGGTTGATAGATTTCGATGAGGAAATATAATTATATTGAAATGAGAATGGTGGTTGGTACAGAAGCAAATACTGAGTAATGGTGGTTTTATTCATGAACTACATTCCATTTTAAGATCACAAAAAAGTAAATCCTAATAATGAGTCATTGTTACAAGCAAATTGATAATATTTTTCCTGTTTTTTTGGGGCATTTTTATTGAAATGAAAATCAAAGCAATCCCTGTGATAATTTACCGCAATCTGACATATTAACTAATATTTTATATTCAATACCGGTAAAGTGTAAAAATTATGGTTTATGTTTTTTACTTTTTTTTTTTCTCTTTCTTGTACAAGTATATATAAATAACAATGTCTGTATTTAAATTTTTATATGTAAATATATATATATGTGACATTGAAATACAAGTCCCTGCCATAATTGTACTGTACGTAATATCAAATATATGTATTAGATAGTACATATATATACAATTTATTGAAGGGAATTTTTTTTATTTTTTTTTTGAAGTTAATTATCAATGATGTAAGACTAACATTATATTAGTGTTATGCAATTGTACACTAATTACCTCCCTTTGACTTATATTACCCTATTTTACCAGTGTAATATACAATGGGTTAACAGCCCAACCACATATTTTTTGGCATTTTTCCAAATAGACCCAGATTTACATTACAAGAAACTATGACATGGTTCAGATTTTGTTCAGTTTTGCTGCATATGACCAAAAAGATATTAGGCAATTTTTCTAACATCTGACCAGGACATATTAAATGGTCTTATTTTAATACCCATCCATGGGGCATGTATTTATTAATTGGAATAGCCCAATTGTAAAACACACGTCAAAGGGTGTACTAAAATTCATCTTGATTTTGCCATAATATTGAGATGTACGTGTGTTATTTCATGTTAAATTAAGTCAGTCAAATGATTTCACACATGTGATTAGTGTATTAATTAAATCGCGTGATTCCGTATTTATATTTTTGGAAGTTGAATATTGTTTTGATCATACATGGCATTTAATTTAGATATTGCAGTACATGCAGTGAAAGACATTGCAGCCTTTCTATCCAAATTTTGAATTACATGTACTTTCATTTTAGGAAACACCATTATAAAACTATGCTATTTTCTGTTTTGATACAGAACTTGAAGTGAAGTCAGTCTGGTTTATAATCTGGCTGTCGCTAAGTGTCTACATGTGTGCAGATGTAAATATGATATTACAAATGATATTTAAACTAACATATCTTAAATTTTCAGTACCTTAAAAGCCAAATGTTTTGCTGAAAATTATTTATTAGAAAAAGCATTCCATGTCATGAAATACAAGTACATAATATTTCAATGACATTAGTATTGGCTGTTACTTTTATCCAACAACCAGTTTCTGGTTTTGTTGGAGACAGATTAACAAGATATGGTATGCATATTCATAATATAACAATGAATTGCAGTGTTAATTATACATTTATTGGCCATGTGACATGTGAAATCTGAGGGAAATCCCTACCCACAAGGGCAATACATTTTTTATTATAATACAGAAATGGAACAATTAAACAATAACGACTTTGATCAGGCTAACATCTGGAAATGTTTATACTTTATATAAATTTGATGTTATTTGATGTTTTGTAAAATGAAGAAAGCAAAAATAGTTCAGAAGAAATGCTTTCAGTCAGGACTGTTTATTTTAATACGACAAAGCAAATGAACGTGAAATATATAATTTTGAAGTCATGCAGTATTTGTGGATGAAGCATATTTAAATTAACAAAAATTGAGTATTTGTTTTATCATAATTATACATATCACAGATTGTTCTCTAAATAGACATAGTAACAAGAATGACACACAAACACGAACTGTACAGAAACTGTTAGATATCATGGATACAATTGAACATACTTAAGTTACATTTTCTTATCAATATGTATATATTTTTGAAACACTGTTAGTTTAAATGTTAAAATCAAACTAGTTTTCGCTTGGAATTACACATTTCTATTACGTTTGTATTAGTATGTTGATTTAAATCTTCTTGGTTATTTAAGTTTAGTTTAAATTTCATTTTATTCCTGTGAATAGAAATTGGGAAACAAGCGCTAACATTTTACCTATACACCGATGGTTATATAAGTCAATAAACTGAGAGTGATCTTGACATTGCCCTGGCTATACTTAGATATAAAAGGTGAACCTAGCTGATCAGAACATGTATTTATTGGTGTATCAAACTGTGCTACTACTGATCATACTGTTAACAGCTGGCTGTTGTATAAGTACACCATGTTTGTAAGTAAGTTTTTTTTTACTGCATACTAGTAAAGTTTTGTTAACCTTGATTTATAAACCTTAGGTGGACTCATGATTGTCGCATATTGATTTCAGTACTCCTAACAAAATTCAGAAAACAAAGATGAGAAAACTGGATGATGTGGTTTAAGGGTCCATTGTACACTGACCTATATAAAATATTTCAAAAATTAGAATCGTTACATTGAAATCAAATTGCTGAATATATTCATGATATTTATGGAATCTGTTTTAATTCTGTAACCTGAAGATTCAAATATGATTTTAAACATACACTTTAATTAAAAAATGTGCAATGCTGTGTTAAAACATATCTGGTTGCAATCTAATCTACTACTGTAAGCGTTATATATGCATACTCATCACACATGCATAGGTCATCTTAACTCATTAAAAGTTTGGTGCATAAATATTATTTTTGTTTGATGAAAATATAAAGAAAACCAAAAGCACATGTATATATTGGGGTGAATTTCAGCGTTGATCGCCAAGCCTAATAATCATCGAATTCCAAGTATACCTCTACCTACACAAATACATTGCAATCATATCCTCAGATTTCTTCCGATCAGAATGTGGAAATGTATGTAAGTTTACACTTTCTCGTTAAAGCACAAAATCCACCAACTTAGACCGTTTGTCGTCTCCTTTCTCTCCCATTTCTTCCTCGAACGTTTTTATAAAAGTTCTCATTTTGGTTAATATCCTGTCATCCTTGCGTTTCGTACTGTCCAGCATTCTTTGATTTCTCAGCATCTCACTGCTTGGTAATTTATTGTTCTGGTTGCTAAGAGCCATGGCCTTAAGCTCTCGGACAGAACGTGTTACCACCGTTGCCGTTGGTGCCTCCATGTCGAGTAACTCGTCTAGTCCTCCATCTGTGACATGGGGTAGTCTCAGTTCACCATCATCTCGATTGCCCAGGCTTCTTGCGATGGAACGACCAGATGGTTCCCTACCCCTTTGGGCGAACCGAGAACTTCCCTGACTATGCGACCTTGACCTTGCAGACGCCTCACGCTTCCTCTGTGCCATAAATTCAGGAAGAACGTTACCTTGCTCTCGAGTCACAGATGCCACGGAATCTCTCGGTTGTCCCGCGTAAATAGAGGCACCTCCTCGATTACTCCTCGTCAACGAAAGTCTGGAAGTGTCTCTGGTTCTCTGTTCGTTTGGCGTTTGTCCAAACATAGGTATTGCAACACCATGATGGCCTATTTCGGTTTTGCTTCTGTTGATACCTAATGATTTGGCATTGTCTTCTATTGATGCCTTCTTACTAATGAAACTTGAACGTTCCTCCTCCTCCTCCTCTTTCTCTTCTTTTTCTTTTTGTTTCCTCTTTGCCATGTCTGTCTTGCTTCTACGGATGAACGGTAATGGTGGATGGGTAGACCTCTGTCGTTTAATCTTAATCAGTTCTTTATCGGTTGGAACAAACACAGATGTGAACCATTTTTCAGGAAATGTTGTGGGATCCCGGTTGAGTTCGGGACGTTTTGGTACAGGGATGCGAATAGTATTAGCAGCCGTTAGTGGGTGGCTAAACAAATCCAAACTGTTGGTGGTGTGAAGAAATACGTTCATGCTATCCACTTCCTTCTTTACCTGGAACAATTCCTGTTCATGTTGTTCACTCAGATGTTTTCGATCTTTTTGAAGTTTTTCTAAGAACCTGTTCAAGGCCTGCTCGAGTTTTTCGTTCTGTAGGTAAACACCACTGTAGTCAGTTCTTAATTCCTCGACATTCATGCGCTTATTTCTCTTCCCACCCCACACCACGTCGTCGCTCATGCTGGCTTGATCAATCTACTGTGTCCCTGTGAATCTTCTTAGTCTGACAGAGCTGGGGTTTACTATGCAAAAAGAAACAGAATAAATGAATACATAGATTAGAAGATTTCTTAATTTTGAAGACAAGCTACCGTTCGTATTATTTAAGATTTAAATCGGAGACAAAGGTTTGCTACGGTGTCTCTGTAGTTTTATGTAAATCAAGAGTAAGATAATTAAACTTTATAACACATAAATATTCAACAATGCTGTTGTATAGGAGCAGTTACTCTATTGCTGTACATGTTTGCCTAGCAATGGACGTGTGACCTGTATCGTATATCTGATTGTCTACACAGTGAAAGCTAACGATCGCGAGGACATGATCTTATTCAAATACATCATAGTGTATACGTATATACTGCACAGGTTGTTGTGTGTGTGTGTGTGTGTGTGTGGGTGTGTGTGTGCTTTGCGTCCTATAAACAGCTATACAACACAAAGAATGTCATGAAAATGACGAAATAAGGAATTATAATACTTGGTAAAGCAAATACTGTGTATCTATTTGTAAAACAAATCTTCTGAATAACTTATCAATCTGACATTCGCTGACATATAATTCGACACAATGTTAAATGTAGTAGTGCGTTCCGTTGTAACAAGTATTGATAAGATGTAGGTTATAATAAAGAAAGTTGAACAGTTTGAGTAAATGTCTTAAGGTGATTAGTAGGAGATATCCAGTTATAAACCGGTCGTTCTAAGGTAATTAAAAGTTCATGTAATACTTACTAACTGTGCACTCCTTCTACAGCAAACATATTGTAGATCCGTGTATGTTTTCATAGAAGTACAGGATTTCTCTTGAAGCCATTCTTGTCATCAAGGGTATCCTAAAGTGTACACTGTGATATACCACAGCTTGACAGAACCAAACGATTAATAGGTCTATTAATATATTTAAATATTCAGGATACACATCTCTCGGCGATATCATTAAATCTTGACTAAATTTTCCCAGGCTTTCGTATTTCGCAAATTTCAGTTATCAAACGTGAAACTAAGCAAATACTGCGCATAAACTCTGGACATGGTAATGTGGCAAATACATTATCCGAAATACGTTCATTGTTCTAACGACCCGTCAGGTATTGGATCAACACTAAGAACAGTGTCATACAAACGGTACAGCTAACACACGACATCAAAACATGTCTTAAACAAAGATCGTTGAAAGCGCCGAACAACCGATAGGTGCATTCGGTACTTAATAAACAAATGGTAACAAATAGCCGGGACGGTTCAACAATGCTAGATAATAGTAACGATAGAATTCCAAGATAAGTGTAGGCAGTGTCCGATATCACGTTTTAAATGTATTGCGTATTGTGTTTCAATGAGAGAACATGGATAACGAATGAGGCGAGGCTGATTATAGATGGAGATAGGTATTGACATTTATATAGCTGCTTACTTCTGAGATTCTGTTGTGAAGAGATGATAAAACGGCCTACAACTAGACAAACGCACGTAACACAACAATGGGTAACGATAGAATATTCTGAAACTCTGATCTTGTTTATATTTCTCCCTTTGGTGTCGACATGAGTTTCAGATATAGTAAGGAAACGCACATGTACATTTCATATATTTAGTACATTGAAATGAATATGCGATACTATAATATCTCATTCGGGTACGTGGATACATTTTCTTTAATTGCGTTTATTATTGATATTGTAAAGGACGAAACATCAAAATATATTTACTATCCCGTTCATAGCTCTGGCTTAGAAGTATGCTATGTATTTAGCTGATGTATTACTGCCGAGAACGGGAAAGCTAACGTACATCACTTGTACGTACACTTTACGTCACGTTTGCTATAACATTTCTCAATGATCTGACAGTTAGCGGCAAACCTTACATTAAAATTCATGTGGCTGTTTACCAAGGTTGCATTTAACTTCATGACGTTATATACTAAGCGTACTTTTTTTTGGTGATGGCGTAAAAACACCCAGCTTATAATTAAAGTTGGTTATTGTTGTATAGAGCTTAACGTCCTATCAACAGATAATGTCATGTAAGGACGCGTCTCCATATGTGTTGTGTAAGCCTGCATGTGTGTATATGTGCCGGAGACAGGGTATGCTGGTGTGTTTGCCTCCTTTTGATAGCTCAGATCTGATGCTGACTTTATAGTGCTATCTAACTGAAAGACCATGCCACAAAGCACAATGTCACATTATACTGATAACGGGTGAACCAGTTGTTGCCAATACCCTAATTGCTGTACGATAAGTAGGGAAAAACAAGTAACATTTTAAGGACTTTGATATGTCCTATATTTGAAGTGACGACTTCATGAATTGAGCTTTCATTTAAAGTGATGACAAGCTAACGGTTACAGTGATGACGTTATATAACAAGTGTACATATGAAAGTGATTATCTCATACACAAAGCTTACATTTAAAGTGATGACGTTATTAGCGGGGTTACATTTAAAATGATGATGTCTTATACCAAAGTTAGTTTAAAGTGATGACGTTATTAGCATGCCTACATTTAAAGTGATGACGTTTTATACCAAACTTACATTTAAAGTAAAGACGCTGTTTAGCATTCTTACATTTAATTTCATGACATCGTATAGCAGGCTTATAGTTAAATCGGTCACGTTGTGTACGACGTTTACATTTAAAGCGGTGACACTGCTTTGCAAGCTTAATGATGTACTCTTCTGAAGTTTCAATCACGTTCAAGTCTCGTTTTGATCTGGTGTAACGGGTTTTTGTAATATTTAAAAAATTATGATCAAGTTTATTAGCAAACACGCATCTGAAAAATATGTCAAAAAACTAGATGCCTGTTGTCTGTAGAACTTTTTTTACAAGAATTTAAAAACATTACCAATTTGTTGGCCATTTTGAAAATGTGTATTAATGTGTATTTCTTGCACTTCAAAAAAGGCCTAAATTTCACCTTTTTTGACACTAGATTGATCACTTAATTATCATTGTGTCGCCATTTTTAATTGTAGAAGGTTCAATTTTGCTGTACAACTTTATAATGTTTAATATGATAAAAACTATATGCAACAAACTGGAAAATTATACATTATTGATATTTTATTAACATATTTAGTGTAACTGAAGCACTTTCGATTTTTGACCCCGAAAAAGGTACATATGTAAAACAAATAACACAAATGATAATGGGACACAAAAAAAGAAGTACACCGACCCCCTATTTTTGTGGATGTTTTAATAAGGAAAACACATTTTCTTTTTTATTCATTAAGCTTTTAATCTGCAAAAAATGGTAAAAAAAATAGTATTTTTTCATTAAAAAAATAGGGGGTAGGGGTAACTAAATTCAGCTCTCTGAGTTAAAAGAATAAGATTAAGAAATTTTGCTTCCATAATTTAAAAGCAAATAATATTTTCATCAATTCTACAAATATTCATACATATCTGATAACACACTTGGAAGAAATCGTGTGACTTTGTTCTGCAAATGGTCAAAACCTAAAAAAAACCCACTAAAATCACATGTGTTAAATTGGTATCTTTGACCGTTCATAGCAAAACAACGAACACACGGACATGTAGGTTTTTTTGCATTTCCTACTATGCCATTAACTCCTTTTTCCAAAAATCCATATAAGAAAAAAAAAAAATACAGGAATATTTTGACTTCTCAGAGGTGTACATCCTTAAATTTACATTTATCTTATTATGAATTATATTTGCAAGTGCGATTAACTTGTTTTTAACACCAGTTTCATTTTCTTTATAATATTATTTTGAAGACCTTGCATTTGCCCTTGTCAATTTGAACTGATTTGGAACAATGAAAGCTACTTTATTCAAAGATAAAATACACAATTACCAACTCATTGAATTTCTTTTTAATCTGATCACATTAAACAAAAATAACCAATACAAAATGTTCATTTTTTTCTCATGGACAAACATGACCTAACAAACACCATGTTTACGATAACTCGCATAGAGTACATGAATATAACTAACAGAAGTATATACGTGACAAATGTACCCTTAGTTTGACAGAACACAGGTTTATATAGGATCTATCAGCACCGAACGACACACCAAGATCTATATCCTTGTGATGTATTTTTCACAAATGTATTTATTCATTGAGAAATTGCGAAAAGTTGATTTTCATTGTCTGCAACACATGATGATCCACCGACAGAAACAACACATGATGATCCACCGACAGAAACAACACATGGTGATCCTACTGTCCAAAACAACACATTATTATGACTGCTGTCAACAATAGCAAAGTGATGTTTAGACAAGAATGTACAGAATAACGCTAATATCACAGGTCACTGTTGCGCTGTTTTGATTAAATCTTTTTTAACAGCAACAAGACACACTTGTATCAGAAACGTTCACATGGCGTTGGTCACACGCACATAAAGTTCATTGAACACTAAAACGTTCACATGACGTTCATTACACTATTTTCATTTTACAAAATTACGTTTACATGAAATTGATAACATTCCAAATTCCACTTAACACAAAAACGTTCACATGACGCTGGTAAAACGACCTATTAGTTCATCAAAACACGTACGGTCCTTGATATCATTCTCTTGCACATTTATTTCTTGTTAAGAGGGCACTTCTGGAAGTTGATCAGGTGGAATCAAGACATCTGGATACATAGATTCAGAGTCCTTTTCTGTCTCTTTCTCTTTAATATCCTCTTCATCTTTTAGAATTTTCTCGTCTATTGTCTTCATGAAGCTTTTCACTTCATAATCCAGTTCTTCCCGACGTGTTTTCGTTGCTAGTAGGAGCCCCTGCTGTCGAATGGCCCGTTTGTTTGGTATTCTATCTGCAAAATTGTCTATATAAGATATTTCCTTTAGCTTTCGTAATGACATGACAACAGGTTTTACAGGTTTGCTACATATAATCTTAAGACCACCCGCAGATTCTGGACGGCTTGATAGTGTTGTAGTTGACATGGTTCTAAAGAATGGATTTGATGATTTTGCCCGGGAATTTGAATTGGTCGAAGGTTTTTGTCCCCTTGCTCCCGGCGGAGCTGATTGCTGTCTGCGAATACGTGGAATCGGGACGTCAGACGCTGGGAGAACAGACGTGTACCACTCTTTCGGAAATTTCTTTCTCCTGCTTTTATTTATACGGCGTAACCTAGCAACTCTCTGTCTTTCGTCCTCCTCTTCCTCCCTTCCACCGTTCGGAAGAGATCGGATTTTACCAGTTGGTTTTCTGTATGCAAAATCCTCCGAAGAGTCAGAATCACCACCCCAGGAGTCCTCTGAGTCTGAATCTTTCTTCTTTTTATGTTTAGGTCGTGGACGGCGGGGCTTGTTGGTAGATGGGGCTAGTAGCGGATGTTCTGAAGTGCTTTGCACTGCTTTAAGGGCGACAATGGTATCTTTCTGGTCAGTGATATCCACTTCATGCTGCTGAGTCACACGATGGAAGTCCTTGCTTAGCTGATCTATCGTTCGCGATAATTCTGTGTCTAACCTTTCGTTTTCAAAGTAGACGTCGCTGTGGTCGATATGCAGAAGTTGGTCTAACTTGTTTCGTTTCTTGTCTTTTTTACTCTTTGAGCTCATATTTTACTAGCCCCTTACAGTTTTCATAGTGGCCACTTGTACCTATAACAAAAGATGTTTATGAATATTTAAAGTCATAAAAAGACCGGTTAGCGATAGGACAGCGTAAAGAATTACGATAGATAAACACAAATCTGACGTAAATTACGCAATTGGACCAATAAAAATAATTTACTGCCCATACGAAGATTTACAGGTGCATCCATGGTGTTTAGGTGGCGATACTACCTGTACTGTGTTGATTTGTTTGTAGTTATGTTTATTGCGCATATAAAATGTACATGTAGTGCCCTTCAATCTCAAAAATTAGTCTCAGCTGTTCGGAACGAGATTCATCAGTTTGTTAAGAATAATATTTACTCTATTCAAATCCTTTGCATTGTTTCCATGACAAAGGAAACAGATACTTTCGAAAGCTCGCAAAATAATTTTTCAATCACTGTTTTTGGTCAAAACAGTCCCAGCTATCTTGAAACGAAACAATGATATGCATATAAAATATTCATTTTCTTAAAAATCGTCATAATGACCTACCGCTAAAGAATATAAAAAAAAATGTGACTACTTTCGAGGCTTGTGAATTTTAATTCTTTAGTATTATTTCGTTTTTGATACCCTGATGCATGTTGTACCAATGTATTGGTGTTAATGTTCAATTGATAAGACGATCGATAATTATAAACTTGTAATAACCGACTTTATTTATCGAGTCATTGCTTCAGGATATTGAAAACAAAATTTAAATGAATGTTAGTTTGAGTTGAGTAAAATATAAAGACATGTAAATCGTACTCAACACCTAGTCGATATGAAAATAAAAACCGATGAGACACCAAATCTAAAGGAAAGACACCATGAGCATGTAAAATATCAGAAGGGCAACCATGTTTTGTTCCAGTGATATTTGTGTGCCTTATAGGTTTCCCGGTTGTTTTCTCCCATTACAGCGTAGAAGCTATGGGGTATATTGTGTAAAATGTTTACGTTTCTTGTATTCATTTGATGGATATTTCTGCTTTTGTCGGACTTGTTTATTGACGACTTACAATAGTAAATAGTTACTTAGAGCTAGGCAACTGGATGAAATCTTAAAAAAGGTACAATGTGGCTTCACACACATAGGGGGTCTTATTATTAAATACGATTAGTAGAACGCATTGTAACAGTAAATTATATTAACTTCTCGACAATGCAATTACCGCAATAAAAGTTTAACGTTTCGTATGGTTTAAATATTTTGGGGAGAGAAAAACAGTATATCATGCTTTACTCACTCCTTAGCTTTAAATAACTTAATTCAATAACTTCCTGTTATTGCTAAAAACAAGCAAAGGCCAACGGTGTACAAAATAAGAATTTACTATAAACACCGTTTATCGGTGATGTGACTCGGTGCCCAAACGTACGATAGGCGTCGCTCTGTACGGATCCCCTTTAGATAAGGGAGTATGTACCGACAGATCTAGAAGACACGCCTCGTAGGCGAGCTATTGTGGACAGGCAGATGACACCTACACGCCTCATTATACTAATTAGACGTATTGCGACACGTTTGCGCGTGTATGCTGAAATTTATCTCAGCTTAAAGATATACAAATCTATCGAACTTTGGCTATGTGTGTTCGCTACTCTACTATGTGAGTAGTGTAAATGCATTTCAATTTTTTCCTAAATATTTTACATCAAACCCCATACATTACCTCGTTGTGAATGTAATACACTAGTGTGTTTTACGAAAACTCGAAATACAGAAGCTCAAAAACTTACGTCACTGTTTTTGTTAAATATATCTTTGTCGTCTTTTGGTTTGGATGATCTATGTAATTTTACTTGTGTATAGTGACTTTATGGATTGTTTTCCAAAAGCTCGTAATAAAAACTATCCACATTAAGTTTTAAAGGATACTGTGAAATAGCGAGTACAATTAAGTTGATAAGGTTGATGTCTTACGCATTGTAATAAGCTTTTTAAGATGTCTATGTGTTTTGAGAAGCTGGAAATGATTCAGATACTAAAGTATCTGTTTACGTACTTTGAATTAACACATTACTAGCATTGAGGAGTAAACGGCTCATCTGTAATAGGTTAATTAAGTGTAATTATGCATCTGCAGAATATAACTACTGGTATTAAATGTTCTACATAGACCTGCTATGAGCGTAAGCAGATAGGGTTCAAAATGAAGACGACAACGACGACGACCTATTAACAATAATGATGTGACGACTTTTTTAAATCAATTAATTTTTGCGATATTTAAAATGGCAAGAGGATTTTTTTCTTATGATGTAAAAATGTGAATATTTGTTAGAATCTCCTCTCAAGAAAAAAGAGGAAAATGAAAATAAACTAAATCATCAAAATAAAGGGTTTATCAGTTCATCTTAATAATGATATATTCTTTCTTACCTAGACAATACAAGGTAAAGTTGTAAGTGACTGACTATGTCAATATAGATTTGGTATGGTTAACCATGTCGTATGTCCAATATATCTGTTTATTTAAGAATATTTATGAAGTCGCATAACACTACAGGAAGTAGGAATTATTCAAAGAGTAGACAATACATGTGACAGGGGTGTTTGACGTAAATGAATTTACGATTTTGGTGTGTAGATATAGCGACAGACTGTTGTAGAGTGATTGTGTCGCTAACATAATACATCACTGCGTGGGACAAACCGTACATAAATGCTGTGTAAACACATGGATGAGGTACTGTAGAGTAACTGTTGCGTTTCATCGAGTATTTCTCATAATCATTCTTTGTTACAGTCATGCCTCTATATTCTTCCCAATTCAATATGGCTTGAATATCACAAACATAATATAAAATCATTTGTATTTCACCATCAGCATGCCCAATCCCTCACACAACGCTTGGTCAAAATCGAAATAAGACTCGGCAGGGTTGACAATGTTGGTGTCAGCCCAAAGTTGACCATGATTTTTGCTCAGCAGAAACGTGTAAATGAAAAGTTTGTTTTCTAATATATATCACACGTTTATTATAATGCCTTCGTAAATACAGGCTATAACTACAACCACTACGTGTAAGGAGTGTGATAAATCCCTATAGCCTACAAACTGATGGCAGAGGAAGGAAATAAATGGGACAGCGCTCTTATACGTTGCCGCAAGCAACGCACAGTACAAACTTTACAAAACACATCAAAGGTTTTTTCTATCGATTGTGAGTAACACAATTTTGTTTTTAGTGCACGTGTATACTAATTGTTTGGGTTTTTTCTGTTTAAACGTGTATGTGTGCACTGAATATGCAATTCTACTAATTCTGTATAAAAATTGATTACAAAAATATTACACACGCTTTTGGTATATTGTAATGTTAAATTCCGTTTAATACATTTCGTATCTAAGAGTAAAGTATGTCCATGTTTTAACCCCTTTCATCAATGACAAAATGTTTACTCTAAGATTACAAATCTCAACCAATGTCTGTAATGGGTTTTCCATTATCGCAGAATTAAAATTTACCACATTTATTGCGATATACATGAATTTTTTAATTACACATGATATGTAAAATGCTTAATTTCAAACTATAAAAATGCTTAACTTGAATCATTCTTACATACAAAAGTAAATTGAAGCTTACATAAACAACACCACTATGGCATTTACTATTTATAATAACGATTGTTCTTATCATTTAGGTTTATGTTAATATACCTACTGAAGCAGTATGGAGTGGCCCTCTCTCCTCTGACAATGCGGCCCCTCTTCGTTTGTTACCAGCCAGATAGCCCTATATTGGTAAAGATGCCTACCCCGTATGTCGACCATGGACGGCCGCTCGGATGTCACTATGTATACGGGGTTGGGTATATTGTTATGTCGGGTGCGATCGAGTGAATACCATTTTCGGCCAAACCTGGCACGATGTAAGGGTATACATACAGGCTGATAGCTATTGATCCGGGTGTTGGGTTTTGATGTAATCTAGCATAAAGGTCCCTGTATAAATGGATTGTCCATCAAATAGACTCTACGTGTGTGCTTGGGTTGGCAAATAGAATAGGTGATTAAAAAACTTTATGTTTTAGCCAGATAAAATCCAATGACACAATACAGACAATACATTACTCACCATTGACTACACAGTGTGCCCTCCCCCTGTTAAACCATGTCACGACAGAGAACCGTCGCGAGGGCATTTTTGGTAGAGGAGGTAAACCAAGTACATGTAAGATATAGACACTGTATTCACTTGTCGAGAAAAAGGTATAAGGCATAAACGCGTCATTTTCTTAATAGTTTGCACATCGTACTTCAAGGCTTAAATGGTTTAAAATGTGGCCTTCACTAGACGTCACCTACAGTATAGAGTAGCTACAAATGGTTAATATTTTTCTATGCGATTCGGTGATGTTATTATTGAAACCTGTTAGATATTTCTTTCACAATCACAGCCATTAGATACCTTATCGATAAAAAGTAATTTGCCTAACCATTTTGGAGGTCGAAATGTGTCAAACTTGGTATTACAGATTTCTAGCATATCTTAGGTAAATATAAGGACAGATTTCTAGCAGTTTCGGATTTTGACAAACAGAGAGTTCCAGATGTTTTATCTTGGATATTATTGAGTTCCAAAAGGTTCGGCGTAGACATTCAGAATCTTTAAAATGTTTAGTTTTGACATTAAAAAGGTCGAAATGTTCCAATATTAGTAAGTGCTGATGTGTCAGCCTTGTCAATAGCGACTTCGGACAGTTTCAGCTCGGACATTACAGAGCTACAAGCGTTTGGTATAACTGTAAGGGGGTTCCAGAAAATGGCTCGTTCTAAAAACAAAACACAAAACACTTAGGCGATATCAAGTTGCAAAGGTGATTCATTAGCAACGGTTCCATAGCGTTTGTTTTTATACTCAATCATGTTGGACCTTTCCATATACATAACATATATTAAATATCGCAGTGTAGAGCTCATACAATACATCCTGACAGAAGAGGAGCATTTCAGTCAGAATGTGTTCTAACAAAACATTTCATTCGTCAGTATAATGGTAGCAGCATACATGTATATTAGTATCATAATTATTTCATAAAGAAAATAGAAATGTATGTATAGGAAAACGAAAAGACAACCACAGAAATCGGAGAAGTACAACATACCAGAGACAAGCACCTGACAACACCAGGGGCGAAACTATGTACTGGTGAACCGAGTTCTTCTTAGTGAAAATTAACAATAAGACAAATAGATAAGACGTGTTTATTATTTAAGACATTACGAACGAGCAACGTGTGCTATCGACAATGAATAACGACTAAATGTGAAACTTGTTAATATCAGAATCAACCATTTAAAATAGTTTTCGGAAACCTTTTCGTTTATCGTTTTTTTATATTCATTTTAAAATAACTTTTTTTTCTTGTGGTATACGTAGTGACCATAGCTGAAAGAATGTTCACAGAGTTCACAGTGAGTGACGTTCATACCCTGTCGTGTGAGCGTATCCATGCTGTACCTCACAGTGTATAACTGTAACCATTTTACAAAGATATGTTTAAATAAATGCAATTGTTTGCCTATATCCGTTCAACACGGGTTTTGTTAGTCGGTATAGAGGTATCGCTGGTGTATAAATACCGTATTGGCGATGTTTAATGAACTCATTATATTAGGTTGTATACACAGAAATTACAATACATATATGTAGGTGTTCTGGTCATGTACACTCACTACTGTTATGAAAGAAATGTTAACTTCCGTATTTCAAAGTTTTATTTGATTATTTTCGTAAATGACCAGTAATAGGAGTATAAAACGCTGTCAGACATTTAAATCTATACATCATTCGGTTGGAAGTAGTACCAACATTCACTTTCTGGTTCATAGCAATGGGTCCTTTCATTCCGCCTACGTCATAGTTAAAAACTAGACTATCACCTTTCTCCCCTGCTCTCGTCGTCATGCTTTGTTCGTTTCCTCTCTTGAGTCAATCTACCATTCTTTGGTTGGTGGTGGAACTGTTCCACTCCCACCAGTCTCGTCCCTTTCGACTGCAATATGGTGTCAGACCGAAGTTACTTCAGTATACGTCGTCATGGAAAGTAAGTTGTCCATCTACGCGTGTTGGTATATCACCTTCATTCAAAATCATGTTGTGAAGCGATCACCATGGTAACGTCTTCTGGTTTCACAGAACGTCAGACAAATCCCTCAGCATATAATATATCTAGCAGTGGCGATTTACAGAAATAGAAACATAATATAGAATATGCCTAATTCAAGAAAGGGTACGCTCAGATGATATCGTAACTACGGTCAGACATCTGCCAGCAAAACATAACCTCTCTTCTTGCCCTTCTTAAATTTCTAGTCAAAGCATCCAAACAGTCCAACAGACTTCAAATTCAACAAAAACATTCTATCTGTTACCACTATTTTCCCTAAGCTGTTGACTGCTAATGTTCCTATAACCTCCATGCATATGAGATATCTTTGAAAATTGCTGCAGAGGTTCCATGTCCTTCCTACAGACGTTGATGCCACCGATACCTGTTAATACTGTCCAACGTTAACGCTTTTTTTTTACATTGATAAACAGATTGCTTAAATGTCTTACTCCGTTGCACACATTCCGTACCCATTCTCTAGTGCTCTCTTCAGTCCCTGCTTCTAAACTTAAGGTAAAAGTGATAAAAATGTGAAAATACATATCTATAAAGCTTGCTTAATTGTATCCTCGCAGGTTGTAAATATTCTGTACTAATTTTTGACCCAAATATGTAGCCGATCTTCAGATAACAAACAATAACGGCGGTTCTGTTGATAACATCCGAGACGCTCCAGGGGTTACGCTCACTTTCGCTCTCTACACCCCTGGACTATGTCATAGCAAAATCGAAGTCTCGGTGTGCCTAAACCTTGTGGATGAAACGAGTAGACTAGTTTGATCCTTTGATGTACATGTACATCAGAAGAATTTGTCGATCGCGTAACGGTAAAATTAGCTGACTTTGAAGTTGGTTGTCGTTCCTCCGTAATCAGCCTAGCTATTGGTCAGGGTTTTCCTGAAACCAATCATATAGTTAGCCGCATGCCTTCCATTTTTGTTACGATATATTATAGGTATAGTGGCTCTAGTAATTATGTGTTAAATGTTTCCACCGTGACATCTTTAATCTTTTAACTTTACCTACCGGTGACGCAATGTGTCTTCACAGTTAACAAGAACAATTGATGTACGTTAGAACTCGCCATTGGTTGAGCCCAAACTCATTGTTATTTTAAAAGTCACATTGAAGCATTTAATGTGATTGTTAAATAGTGTTGAGATCAATTATAGAGATGCAATTGTGGGGTGATTTCCAGATGTAAGCTCATTACTGGTGTAAGTTTCTGGGTTCAATATAGCGTCAGTGAAACTGAATATGAACTTATTGGTATGTCCATGTGTACAGAAGATGATAAGGGAGTCACAGTTTACGCGTTTATTTTGCATTATTGATTATGTTAACTTTTTTCAGACCAAATCTTCAACGAAGAAAGAAAAGAATATGAAGTCGTAAACAAAGTCGTAAATCGAATTCAAATTCGACGAAACTATGGCAAACATTTATAAAAGAGAGTATGACTGGGTGTTCTGGAAGGGTAAGTGTTTTCTGCCTCAGCATCGATAGTCTGCCATGTAAATGTATGTCAACTACAAGTAATGCAACGTTCTCTATGAGAGAATCAGGGCAGTAACACCAAAGGAACACTAATAAGAATCAGTTAAGGAATTTCTGAATAAAATCGTGACTGGAGCCCATAGCTTTCATCTTCTTCCGTTTCTCCAAATCTTGTGTTGCAAGATTGTTTGTTAGGCAAATAAAATGAAAACGAATATTTTAGAATTTCAGTTTTATTTACAAAATAATGATTGATAATATACAGTAAGTACAACTTGCTAGCCATGTAATATGTTACACGTATACTGGTAGCAGACTTGCATTAACGGATAAAACTCCATAAACAAAGTATAAAAATATTTAGGTCTTTGTGACCAATATATGGCACAAATGAACGGATATATCATGACTGTATAATATACTGTCAGAATATCTTATAAAATGTTAGAATGTCAAAGGTGGTTATATGGTTATATAATGGTTATATATAGTATATAGCACGTGGACGAGTAACGATGGTATGACGAGTGACGATGATGTGTCGATCAACGATGGTGTGACGAGCTGTCTCTGTGGTGATGGAACAGCATCCCCCACATCAGTCGTAATTGTGGTGAAGGACACGGTGGCAATATAGAGGATGGAAGGATAACCCGGCCGGGCGTGACAAAATGGCATCGATCACTCATCCAACTGGACCTAATACATACATATAATTAAAATGTTGTCTTCCCTATTTATAACTAAATATTAACGAAAACAAGACATTATGTTACTAACACTTGCACCCTTTCTTCTAGATTTTTCTTTGTTGATATGATACGTCATGATATCGGGATTAAGTGAATGTTCTTTCCATTGTTTTGTTTACCGTCGAAATGTTAGGAATAAGATGCTTTCCCTTATAGAATCACATGATTTGTAAGGTTTTCCCGTTGTGTTGCGTGGACTGTATCACTGCTATGGACTATTGAGAAGGGAAGTAACTCTGATTTTTGTTGGGTGTGCCCTACCTTAACCTACCTTGTATTTATTTTTTCTTCATTAAAGAGTCCCAGTAGCCCCCTGTTACAGAGCCGATCTCTTGAACAGGACCGTAAGGAACCGGCAGGAACGACCCTGTGACATACAATGATCATTTCTGGTTCTAATACGCAATATAACGACAGGTTTGAGGAAGTCACGGTGGTAATAAGAGTACTAGTTTATGTACAATGGATATGAATGTCAAGAAACACATGTACATGAGTGACTGCGTTCATAACGGTTTTCTGTACAGAGCGGTATAACGGTGGTTTATTGTGATAAATATTGTCAAAAGAATAACATATAGTGTAACAATTTATCGACATTAAATACTCGTATATATAGAGGATCTGCACGAGTGTCCATGTCATATTGAATTTATTAAACGAGTTCCTTTAGGCGAGTGTCATATCAACTTATTGAACGCGTTAAATAAATTCAATATGACAAGGACAAGAATGTAAGATTCTATTTATCAAATAATTTGAAAAAAATAATTCAAATGCGATTATGTGTTATCAGCTGACTGTATATAGATAAAAACCATAGTACTCCAATCATAGTACTGTCGTTCCGCGCAGTACAAAATCGTACAATTTAATTTAAAATAATAAAAAGTTTAAAATGCAATGAAAACAATAATGATAACATAAACATTTTAAATCCATTTAGAATAACAGCTAATGTATCATGTGGTAAACTAAATAAAAGTAGTACAATTGTACCAAAGTGTCGTGGGAATAGGTTTCCACGGTTTTGACCAATCGCAGCACCTGTAGGTTTTATTACACGTGTGTATGACATAGTAACATTGGTCAGTTATGTGATAAACTGGTATACTGCAGCTTGTTTACAGCATGTTCAGTGTTATCTAATTATGTTGAATATTTCATTACAAGTAGAAAATATCAAAAATACTAATAGCTTTATTTCCAAATGACTTGGGACTATTATTTTAAAACAAAATGATCATATTCTATATTGCTCAATATATTTTGTTGACTCGTGTATTGCAATTTTATTTCATGATGATTGTTGCATCATTTTTTTAGACTCCGAACAAAATGGCAGCCTTGATTAGATAGGTAAGTAACAAAAAAAACTTTAAAAGCCATCATAAATTACTCCCTTTTTTTGACACCTCATTAAAGCAAGTAAAGAAATTATCACCCCCGATAGAAATTTCCCTTAATGTTTATGACAAACGACAACAAACTTGTAAGTCGTGTTTTTGGTAGTGATTGATAATAAAAGAGGAGATTAGTGGGTATCTGGGACTAGTCCTAGAGGTGGGAACGTTACTACTTACGATAGATTAGTGGATATCTGGGACTAGTCCTAAAGGTGGGAACGTTACTACTTACGATACACTAGTTGGTATCTGGGACTAGTCCTAGAGGTGGGAACGTTACTACTTCCGATAGATTAGTGGGTATCTGTAACTAGTCCTAGAGGTGGGAACGTTACTACTTCCGATAGATTAGTGGGTATCTGGGATTAGTCCTAGAGGTGGGAACGTTACTACTTACGATATATTAGTGGGTATCTGTAACTAGTCCTAGAGGTGGGAACGTTACTACTTACGATAGATTAGTGGGTATATGTAACTAGTCCTAGAGGTGGGAACGTTACTACTTCCGATAGATTAGTGGGTATCTG